TACTTTTGGCGCTAGTCATTGCTGACATATATGACATCATCAGAAGAAATATGGTGATGGAGATAATGCATGAGGCTATGATATTATGAATTTTTGACGTTTATAAGAAAAATAGTAAATGAAGGCCACCAAATTAGGAAGATCACAAAATTAACAAATCCACTTGCTGGGAATATTAAATGGAAACAACCAAAAATAGAAAACCACTAAAGATAAAAGAGCATTCTAAAAATAAAAATTTATAAACTTAGAAAGTTCTAAAAATAGAAATTTTTAGTTTCTCTTAAAACAACTAACTTCTTCATAATCTCCTGTAGTATCTTGTAGTCTTATCATTAGCTTAATATTATAATTTGAAGTTCCAAACTTTCACATCTCTTATTGATGAGCATGTTCAATAATATTTTGAATCTTATTTGTTATTTTAGTTTTAGTTTTAATTATTATTGCCCAATCTAATTTTTTCTTTTATTCTTTCACGATCTCAAAGATAATAACTTTGATTGCCTTGATGTGCTAAAATGAAGGGATCAAATTTTTCATTTCTTTTATTTAGTAAAATTTTGGTGATACCATATGACTTGTGTGTTTTTGTTCCATGATTAGAAATGGATTAAACCAATCACAATTGAATAGAAATATAGTTCTTTTTATAGAATTAGGAAATTACAACTATGCAGTTTCTCATAAAATTTCATAATAATCTGTTTATCACATGTAAACTTTGACTGCCTTGATGTGCTAAAACGAAGGGATCAAAATTTTCATTTATTTTATTTAGTAAAATTTTGGTGATACCATGACTTGTGTGTTTTTGTTCTATGATTAGAACTGGATTAAACCAATTACAATTGAATAGAAATATAATTCTTTTCATAGAAAGAGTTATATTTTATTTAGTAAAATTATAACTCTATTACTGTGATTTTGAACCTACTCAGTATATCAATAAGAAAGTGTAACTATTAACTTTAACCCAAAAATGGTTGCATAGTTATGATCGATTACTTGCAATTTAAACCGTCCTTAGAATTCTTCTTCTACTTTTTAGGGGTTGTTTGGTTGAGTGAATTTATGGGGTATTATAATTCTTTTGTATGTATATAAGAAAATTATGTGTTTGTTATGAAGAATTACATATATAATGTAAAGTATGGATGAATATAAAGTTTACACTGTAGTTCATTTCGGATGATCAAAATGAACTAAAATTTTGGCTAATTTAACTAAATTTTAATCACACCATTCATGTAAAATGCTATTGGCGAGTCATCTGTCGCCGCCAGCCTTTCGTTGACACCACTGTCGCTGGCTGTCCACCAACGCCGCCACCGCTAGATGTCTGTCGCCACTGTCGCAACCACAGCTGTTCTTTTCTTTCGCCAGCTCGCTTGCCACCAGTCGCCCGCCATTGGCCACCCTCCACTGCTTGCTGCTGGCGGCCCGCTTTAGTCCTTGGCTGCCGCCACTTTAGCCATCAGTTTTTCAACAAAACAATATTTTTTTGAATTCATTGTTTTCAATCTACTACAGATCAAACAAAAAAAATATAAAGTTCTACGTTTATTTTATAGTAAACCAAATTACAAGAAATAAATTCAAATACATTATAATCATGGTACTCTACAAAACCTTTTAGATTGCATTTTGTTATCAACGAAGCAGATAACCTTTTAATAATACTAGCATTATCATCCAAGTTCAAAATGCTCATGAATATCCTGATTTCAAAATTGGAATTTTCACAATTAGATCACTTTTAAGTAACATATAAAATCTATTAGATGAACCATCTTATTTAGAAAAATATTAAACCTCATTGTGGTTGAGAGGAATATAGAATGTCATTGCCTTGAGCTGATTATCATTCAGGTACTGTGAAATACATCAACTTAATGCTTCTACTTGTCAAAAAAATAGATAACATTATTGATAAAGACCGAACACCTTTGAAATCATCGATATGTGTTTTTGGCTCAAAGCAATCAGAGCAAAAATTAATAGTCTTTTGTAACAAATATGTTTCGCATATTAAGTTTTTCTATTATATTTTTTCTCACAATTCTTTTAAATTTGGTCATAAATCTGCAGTAGTGTTAGAAATTAAATGTGATTTGATAGAAACATTCAATTTATTCAGTATCATATATAATAACCTCAAATGAATTCATTTTTCGATATTGTATTGGGCCTCTATCTCTTGTTGCTTAAGGTAAATGTATTGACATGTGCTTCATTGACTCGAAAAAATATGTGAATATATTCTTTCAAATTGGCACTGTATAAATGAAATGTTCACTTTAAGCTCTATTTTATCTTAAAAATTTTAAAAAAGTTGCAAACTCTTTCTTGGTGTTTTCTCATATGCTTAACATAATGCATAAATGTGTATAGTATTTGAAGACTTGGAATGAATGATAAGTAGAACAATTGTTTGTATGGAACTTTTGCTTGCGTTATTTCTACTTTGTGACTGACGTTCCACAAAATTTACATTCAGTCTCGATTATATCATCCTTATAGTATAGAATTCATCTATTAATACAATTTATTTTCTATGGGTCGAACCTTAGGTCGAACCTTATTGAGACACAAATTTTTCTTTTGTTTTGCATAAATCCTCTGAGGGTCGAACCTTATTGAGACAAATTTTTCTTTTGTTTTGCATAAATCCTCTGAATTTTTTTTTTTTTTTTGCCTTAGCTTAGTCTCTTTTGGAAGTTCTAAAAATTGATTGAAGCATTTTCGTGACATATTTTATTTGATCTAGATGTTTAATATTCTAACAATCAGGGATAGTTCGAAGTGATTTATGTTACCTTCCCACAATCCTTGTTCATTGCCTTTAATAGTTTGTAAAACTTTTGAGCTTTTGTGTATCGTTGTTCATTGCATTCAATAGTTTGTAAAACTTCTGAGCTTTTGTGTTTGGTGTCTTTGCACTGCTCCAACAAATTGAGCTCTAATTGCATCGAATGTTATTATTTTATATCTTGAATCATATTTTTATTAGAAGGAGATGCCTGTCCGAACACTAGCTTGAGCACTGATGTGTGGCTCATACTCATCATGTGAAATTCGGATCCAGTAATTGTAAATGTAAATGTTTATGTAAGATTTAACTTAAACTAAGAAGTATCAGTAGATTTTAAAACCAGGAAGAACTAACGACAAGGAAAGGAGGAAAGTGTTATGAGTTTTAAATTTTAATTATATAAAATGTTTGCTTATTTATGAAAAATGTAATGAAATTAATTTTAACTTTTAACAATTTAAATCAGGGATTAAAGGTGCAATGAATATTAATTAAAAGAGAAAACAAAAATCCATGGGAAAGAGAAAGGCATTCAAGGGGTCAGGTGAATAATTATTTATTTATTTAAGAGTTGCATTTTAAGGATAAAGGATTTTAATAAAATTGATAAAAATGAACTTGTAATATTATTTTAAAATCATATAATTGATTTAGAATTTGTATTTTGAACATTTGAAAGTTGTCTCACAAATGGGAGAGAGGCAATTGAAATATGAAAATAGATTTCAATGATTTTAACTCAACATAAAATGCTGAGTAAAGATTTCAGCTAATTTGGATTTACCCTCTTATGATACTAGTTGGGGGACGTTATTGTACATGTGGGCGAAAAAAAAAATAGAAATGATAAAGTTGTTCCTTTGGGTGAAAAATATTAAAGATACCTACGGGTACAAACATTTGAGAGTACCTATAGATACAGTCTTTTGAGAATATTTTTGGTATAACGGTGATTTTGATATGACTTAAAAGAAAGATAAAAATAAAAATGATAAATGACTTAAACTGAACATGAATGACTAATTTAAAATGAAAGTTTATAGTTTGATTAATTAATAAATCACATTTATTTTGGATATTCATGCATAACATTTGCATATTAATTTAATACATAACAATTCATTAAGTTATGGTAAACTTAATGTTTAAAATAATTATTTTCTTTAGATAAAACTTTAGATTGATATGGCTGACATGTGAGAGTTAGTTTATGGAAGGACTATTGATACTAGGTTGTTTGATATAGTTCTAGTTTCTTGTAAAGTTTATTTCATATTAATGTTGTATTATTGTTGGTTGTATTGCGAAAATGTTTTATTTTCAAACTATTGTTATTTTGGTTCGATTTGATTTTAGTGTACTTTGTAATTTTTAGTGGCTCTTCTAATTATTGGAAGTTATGATGGTTTATTGTATAATTTAAAAGAACAGTTAATATTATCTCACCGTAATTTTTGACTTGGTTCATTCTGAGATATAAGGCCGAATCGTGATAATTTCCAACCAAATTTTTCCACAATAATTATGATTGTTTTGTATGCTTTTGTTGTAGTGATTTAAGATATGATTTTATTTATTTATTTATTTATTTCTATGACAAAGATGATGTTTTGGTTAGGAGATTAGTTGTTTTACGCTCAATTTATGTTAAGAAAAGCAGAGGTAGATCTAAAAAAATTTGGGCAAATTATATAAATAATGATTTTAATGTATTAGAATTAAATGAAAATATGAGAATCCATAGGACACAATGCAAAAATAAGATTAATGTAGCCGACCTCACTTGGTGTGATAAAGGCTTGTCATCGTTGTTGTTAGTGCATGACAAAATGACATGATCCTACCTTCTCCAAATATTTTTCTTCGGCATAACGCATTATTCACTACTAACACTTTGTTGCTCTGTCCAAGTCAAATTATTTTTACTATTTTCGGTTGATATTAACAAATGAATTGATCAAAAGGGAAACGATCGTAAAGGTGATCAATGCTATTTAATTTTTATTCCCAATCAGAATCTTATTTGTTTTGTTCTTACAAAAGAGAAGCTTGCCTTCAAAATTAAAGATGGTTGATGTTTAAAAATTTTAGCAAGAACCATGCAAGCAGATTCCATTCTTTAATCTTTCTCTACACCTTCCTTGCGACTCATCTTCGCATGATTTTAATAGAAATTTTATTGCAGGTCAAAAGGCCGAAGTTGATGTGATATATGAGAATGGAGCAAGTGCTACTTCTGCTCGAGCCAGTAGCTTGACCTGGGCTGCAGTTATCGTTTGTCTTATTGTTTTGCTCTCAACGATCTTTGTTTTTGTTAAACTACTAGACAGACCAAGCAGATCAGTAACATCAATGCCAACAGTTCATTCCTCATCAGCCATAGCAAGCCCTTCAACCCCAGAGGCTGCGTCAGTCCCTGCCGGCAGTCAGTTCTCTCCAAGAACTCCTCAGCCCTTTGTGGAGTACGTGAGGAGGACAATTGATGAAACACCATACTACAAGAGAGACGGCAGGAGGAGGTTTGATCCCCAGCACACTTACTAAATTTAGATCTTTTGTTAATTGGACATCTATTGTGTTCAAGAAAGACCGGTTCGAGAAGGCCTGCTTTCAGGAGTTTCTGCTCTCTAAAACAGTCATGTTTTTTTTTTTTTTTTTAATGTATGTTTTCCCTTTGAAATTTTCTTTTCATTGATTTGCAAATTGGTAGTAGGTGACATATTTGACGTTTCAATATATGTATCTCATGCCTGGGTTAGAGCGGCCACTGATTTTTTTTTTTTTCTCTCAAACTTTTTTTGGGATGTCATGTTACATGTTAGCAACGGTACCTTTGACTGCTAAATGCAGTGTTGTGCAAATATTTATGTACGGAGAACGCACGGAGCTCTCCGTGCGTAATCCCCTCCCAATACTCCCTCAATAACCTCTGCGAAGATTATTGGGGGTTATTGCGGAGTTATTTCGGCGTTTTTTGTAGTCGATACTCTCCGTGGTTACACTTTCACATTTTCTCTGGTGTTAGGGTATTGACTCCAAATAATGCTGAAATAACTCCGCAATAACCCCCCAATAACCTTCGCATGGGTTATTGAGAAGTTATTAGGAGGGGAATACGCACAAAGAGCTGCGTGTGCTCTTCGTACGTAAATATTTCTTGTTGTGCGGGTCTATTATAATGGTTGGCAATGGCCCGTATTCGATTGGTTGAATACAGGGAATCAATCATGTAAACTAAATTGAAGTTCTCGGTGTTAGATTTTCTCACTCAACTACTTGTGGCGGTTTATGATTTTTGTGTGGCAAGACGTCTCAATGTTGTTGAATATTGAAGGCTTTGGGTATTTGACACAATGGTTCCATGGCTTTCTTTTTAGCTTGGCTTCACGAGCTTTATATCTCAATATATTCATGATTTAGTTTGTTTCATTCTCTTTTGTTTGTCTTTTATGAAAGCTAATAATGCTATGTATATAATATTGTTAATCATACTTTCGAGTGACATACAAACTGTAAGCCCTGAAAAATAGCAATGTGCATGCGGATCATATCTTATAACATTTACTTTGCGTTATTCATGCATTTCTATTCAATGCATACTTTGTCAAAGCTTATTAAAATAGTTGGTCAGCTTTTATGGTGTAAAAA